ATCAAAATCTAACAACAGATGGTAGACTGCCCAAAACTTTTTTTGAATTGACTGACAACATGGATTTGATTGACATATGGAGGACAAAGAACCCCCTAGGCAAAGAAGGAACTTTCTTCTCTGAGGCCCACCTGTCATGGACAAGGATCGACCAAATATGGACATCTAGAGGGCTGGCACCGAAGACTAGAAAGGTGGAAATCTGCCCAAAAACCTGCTCCGACCACAACGCCTTGAAAGTAGAACTCAGACTTACTCAAACTGGTTCTTTCAGATGGAGAATGAATGACACCTTACTAAGGGATCAAGAGATTGTGAAAAAGGCCCAAAAAATGTTAAAGGACTATTTTGAAATAAATCTGAACACTACAGTAGAAAAAAGAATGATCTGGGACGCCAGTAAAGCAGTCATGAGAGGGTTTCTGATACAACAAAATACAATCAAGAAAAAACTCTGGAATGGCAAGAAGGAGAAAATATTGGAGAAAATATATCAAGGAGAGAAAGAATTGAGAACCAAACCAAAGTCAAAAGAGGTGCTGAGAGAAATCGAATTCCACCAAGCACAATACTCGAAATTAATAAATCAAGAGATTGAATGGAAAATAAAACAAATGAAGCAAAAATCGTTTGAATCAGCAAATAAATGTGGCAAGCTGCTAGCATGGCAGCTGAAAAAAAGACAAAAGTTAAACACGGTTACAAATCTAGAGATGGAAGGAAGAATGATTCAGAAACCAGAAGAAATTAGGAAGTGCTTCCACAGATACTTTAAAGAACTTTATGCACAGGGGCCTCAGAAAGAGTCCGAGATAGACCAATTTTTAAAGACAAATGGATTATCAAAAATACCTCAAGATAAAAGATCAATCTTGAACTGTAAAATAACTCAACAGGAAATTGAAGGTGCCATTCAGAATATGCAACTTGGCAAATCTCCAGGCCCGGATGGGCTTACCTCCAAATACTATAAGACTTTGAAGGACTATTTGATTCAACCTTTGATGGAGGTATGCAACCAGATTATGGAAGGGAAGAGGGCACCGGAAACGTGGAAAGAAGCATTCATCACATTGATACCTAAGTCAGAATCTGAAAAGACTCAGCTTAAGAACTACCGTCCCATCTCACTCCTGAATGTGGATTACAAAATATTTGCAGACATTTTGGCAAGTAGACTTAAAAAGGTACTAAATGAAGTAATTCACAAAGACCAAGCAGGCTTTCTTCCTGGTAGACATTTGGATGAAAACACCAGGAACATCATTGACATTTTGGAACTTTTGCAAACCAACAGGAACACAAGGGCGGTGTTAATTTTTATTGATGCGGAGAAAGCATTTGACAATATATCTTGGATGTTTATGAAGAAAAACTTGGAAGGGATGGGAGTGGGACGGGGGTTCGAAAATGGAATAGAAGCAATTTATTCAGAACAAAAGGCCAAATTAATAGTGAACAATGTGGTGACGGAGGAATTTAAAATTGAAAAAGGGACACGACAGGGGTGTCCTCTATCCCCTCTTTTATTTATTTCAGTTCTGGAGGTGCTACTGAACATGATTAGGGAGGACCAGTTGGTACAAGGGATAGAGGTCGGAGTGAAACAATATAAATTGAAAGCTTTTGCAGATGACCTAGTCTTGACATTACAGGAGCCAGAACCTAGTACAAAAAGAGTTCTAGAACTTATATCTGAGTTTGGTCGGGTAGCGGGATTTAAGCTGAACAAACAAAAAACTAAGGCTTTGACTAAAAATTTGACTCCTACAGAATCAGAGGGGTACCAGAGAGAAACAGAATTAAATGTGGTTAAAAAGGTGAAATACCTAGGGATTTATTTGTCCTCCAAAAATTTGAACTTATTTAAAGACAACTATGAAAAATGTTGGTTGGAAATTAAAAAGGATTTAGAAATTTGGTCAAGATTGAAACTTTCCTTGTTGGGTAGAATCGCAGCTATAAAAATGAATGTATTGCCGAAAATGTTATTTTTGTTTCAAACCCTACAGATCGTGGACAGAGTGGAATGTTTTGGAAAATGGCAGAAGGACATATCTAGGTTTGTCTGGCAGGGCAAAAAGCCCCGAATAAAGTTTAAAATATTAACTGATTCGAAAGAAAGAGGGGGGTTTGCCCTGCCGGACCTGAAGTTATATTATGAATCTGCAGCCTTCTGCTGGTTGAAAGATTGGTTCTTGTTGGAAAACACTGATGTCCTAGATCTGGAAGGTTTTGATAATGCTTTTGGTTGGCATGCATATCTATGGTACGACAAGGTTAAAGTTCATAAACTGTTCAAAAACCATATTGTCAGAAAAGCAATTTTTGTGGTCTGGATGAAATACTTTAATAAAAGTATTTATTTATTTTGCGGTCTGGATGAAATACTTTTGAAATTGCCCCCCCAAGACCAACCCCCCAAATATCATACAGAAGGAGACTGTCTACAGCAGGAATACATCACAGGAGGCGGTCTACAGCAGAAAACCTGTCTCCAAGGATACCTGTTAATGGTCAATAACTGCATTACCTGGGCAGCCTGGCCATTCTTTTGTGATGGTAAATACTTTAGTTCCTGAATCCAGGTCACAGGCCCACCCTGTTCATACCTCCTTAAGGCAGTATTTGTAAGCACAAAGACAATGGGAAGGCTTCCATTTGCCTCCTTTACTGCAGAGGAATATTTGAGTACATTTCCGAGCACAATTCAAAGTGTTGGTGCTGACCTTTCAAGCCCTAAACGGCCTCAATCCTGTATACCTGAAGGAGCGTCTCCACCTCCATCGCTCAACCTGGACACTGAGATCCAGGGCCGAGGGCCTTCTGGCGGTTCCCTCATTGCGAGAAGTGAGGTTACAGGGAACCAGACAGAAGGCCTTCTGGGTAGTGGCGCTTGCCCTGTGGAACGCCCTCCCATCAGATGTCAAGGAAATAAGCAGCTATCCCATTTTTAAAAGACATCTGAAGGCAGCCCTGTTTAGGGAAGTTCTTAATATTTAATGCTGTATTCTTTTTAACACTTGATTCCCCAGAGTGGCTGGGGAATCTCAGCCAGATAGGCAGGGTATAAATAATAAGTTATTATTATTATGGCATTGGGAGAGTTAAAATGATTTCAGGATGGTTCTCCTGTAATTTTTCAGACATGTGGTTTGTATACTTACTGTGAGGAATGTGTTTGGTTGCTCATGAAGTAAACAGCCAGGACTCCGTCCTGCCTTTTATAGGTTTTAGTGAGTGGAAAACTATGTACAGTGCAGAAGTCCAAAATCTATATCTGCCTCAATCACTAGTAGATTCCGGGAGTGGTTTCTTCTGGTTTGCTCTCCAGCACAAAAGCCCGGGAAACCTCCCTCTCCTCCTTTCTTCCTTACGTTTATTTCCCTGGCGAAAACTATGCGACAGAAGCAGCATGTCACTCTCCCTTTCTGTTTCCCTGGGAGCAGTGTCGTGGCTCACCTCAGCCTGAGTGAGCCTTTGCTTCATAATAATAATAATAATAATAATAATAATAATAATAATAATAAAATATTTTATTAATTTGTACCCCACCATCTGGCTGGGTTTCCCCAGCCACTCTGGGCAGCTTCCACAAAGACCAAAAATACACTTAAGATGTCACATATTAAAAACTTCCCTGAATAGGGCCGCCTTAAGATATCTTCTGAATGTCAGGTAGTTGTTTATCTCTTTGACATCTGGTGGGAGGGCGTTCCACAGGGCGGGCGCCACCACCGAGAAGGCCCTCTGCCTGGTTCCCTGTAGTTTTGATTCTCGCAGGGAGGGAACTGCCAGAAGGCCCTCAGCGCTGGACCTCAGCGTCTGGGCAGAACGATGGGGGTGGAGATGCTCCTTCAGGTATACTGGGGCGAGGCCATTTAGCTCACCTCTACCTGAAATAAACTGATGAGCTTGTGCCAAAAATGCAAGTCACTGCATGTCACTGCATGGGAACATGCCACTAGTGCCCCTTCACAAGTCCATTTGTCACCTGGGAACATGAGCCTGGCCACGGGAGGTCCCTCTTCCTCCCAGTTCTCGGGCTTGCGAGATAGTGCATCTGCCCTCACTTTCTGCTCTCCCGGAACGTACTGGATCCTAAAGTTAAAGCTGGCAAAAAAACTCCAACCAGCATATTTGTCTTTGGCAAAGCACATGCGCGGTCCACCAGTACTCCAGGTTCTTGTGATCTGTGCACACCTGTATCTGCTGCTTCGCCCCATCAGGAAGTGCCTCCACTGCTTAAAGGCTGCAAAAATAGCCAGCAATTCTTTGTCATAGATACTTTAGTTTTGCTCCGATTTGTTGTTTCCTGGAGAAAAAGATGCACGGCCTCCAATCTCCCCCAGCATCTTGCTGCAGCAAGACCACCCCAATCGCCCGATCAGTGGCGTCAGTTTCCACTCGCAACGGCTTGTCTGGGGTTAATGTGCAATAGCTGCCCCTCCGATGCAAAAACCTTCTTTAGTTTATCCAATCCCCTCTGTGCCTCCTCAGTCCACATAAATTTCTTCCCACTGAGGCAATCAGTTATGGGCGCTATCAAGTGGGCAAAGTTCTTGATAAACTTTCTGTAGAGGATTAGTATGTAGAGGATGAAATATATCATTAGAAACTATGAACGACACAAGTAGAAGGCATGTTCATGGACATTTCTTCATTGCAGGGGGTTGGACTAAATGGCGCCCGGGTCCCTTCCAACTCTCCAGCTCTATTATTCTATGACACGGGGAGGACATGGGAGAATGAATGAGATGTTTAAAAAGGAGAATATGCTAATTGAACTTTTTGTGTTTCATACTCCTTTGTTCTCTACCTTGAAACCCAAACAAGACTTTATTTTCCACGCGCTCCAAAGCAAGCAGTGCAGAAGACTTTTCAGGGTATGGAGTCTGGAACAAACTTCACTGGCAGCAGGACACTTAGAAACCATCAACAGAATCACACGGTAAGAGAAACCATTTAAATGTATGGAGTGTGGAAAGAGCTACAGTCGGAGTGGAAACCTTAGAATTCATCAACGGAGTCACACAGGGGAGAAACCATTTACATGTGTGGAGTGCGGAAAGAGCTTCAGTAAGAGTACAAACCTTTGTTCACATGAACGAACTCACACAGGGGAGAAGCCATTTAGATGTATGGAGTGTGGAAAGTGCTTCAGTCTGAATTCAAACCTTAAGAAACATCAACGGATTCACACAGGAGAGAAACCATTTGAATGCATGAAGTGTGGGAAAACCTTCACTTGTAGCGGAACTCTTAGAAGACATCAAAGAAATCACACAGGAGAGAAACCATTTGAATGTATGGAGTGTGGAAAGAGCTTTATTGACAGTGGAAAACTTAGACTACACCAACGGATTCACACTGGGGAGAAACCATATAAATGTATGGAGTGTGGAAAGTGCTTCCGTCAGAGTGGAGCCCTTAGAGTTCATCAACAGATTCACACTGGGAATAAACCATTTAAATGTATAGAGTGTGGAGCGAGCTTCACTGACAGTTCAAGACTTAGAATTCATCAACGGATTCATACAGGGGAAAAACCATTCCAATGCATGGAGTGTGGAAAGAACTTCATTGATAGTGGAAACCTTAGAATTCATCAACGCACTCACACGGGGGAGAAACCATTTAAATGTATGGAGTGTGGAAAGAGCTTCAGGAACAGTGGAAAATTTAAAATACATCAACGGATTCACACTGGGGAGAAACCATATAAATGTATAGAGTGTGGAAAGTGTTTCACTGACAGTGAAACACTTAGAATTCATAAGTGGACTCACACGGGGGAGAACCCATTTAAATGTATAGAGTGTGGAAAGTGCTTCAGTGCAAGTGGAAACCTTAAAATTCATCAGGTGATTCACACAGGGGAGAAACCATTTAAATGTATAGAGTGTGGAAAGAGCTTCCATAAAAGTGAAACACTTAGAATTCATCAACGGACTCACACAGGGGAGAAACCATTTAATTGCAGGGTGTGCAGTAAGAGCTTCATTGATCGTGGATCACTTAGAACCCATCATCGAATTCACACAGGAGAGAAACCATATAAATGTATAGATTGTGGAAAGAGCTTCAGTGGAAGTGGAACACTTAAAAAACATCAACGGATTCACACTGGGGAGAAACCATTTAAATGTACAGAGTGTGGAAAGAGCTTCATTGACCATGGAACACTTAGAATTCATCAACGGATTCACACTGGGGGAAAACCATTTAAATGCATGGAGTGTGGAAACAGCTTCACTGAGAGTCGAACACTTAGAATTCATCAGCTGATTCACACAGGGGAGAAACCATTCAAATGTATAGAGTGTGGAAAGAGCTTCACTGACAGTTCAAAACTTAAAATTCATCAACAGATTCACACAGGGGAGAAATTTAAATGCCTGGAGTGTGGAAAGAGCTTCAGTGCAAGTCGAACACTTAGAATTCATCAACGGATTCACATGGAGAGTGGAAAGAATTTTCGTCCAAGTGAAACACTTTGAAAATTTCAATAGACTCTCAAAGGGCAGAGACCATTTCAGTGTATGCATTGTGCAAAGAAGTTCACTGATATTGTAAAACCTAGAAGACATTAATAAGCTCAAACAAGAGAGAAATCATGTAAATGTCAGCAATATAGAAAGAATTTCTGTCAAAGTTTAAGTCTTCCATGTATTGAGATGAAGGAAGCATCTCCCAATAGTAAGCATAATGTAAGACTTAATGCAGGCGTCCCCACCCTCGGCCCTCCAGCTGTTTTGCGAGTACAGCTCCCATCATCCCTGACCACTGGACCTGTTAGCTAGGGATGATGGGAGTTGCAGTCCCAAAACATCTGGAGGGCCAAGTTTGAGGATGCCTGACTTAATGTAATGTTACATAGAGAGGGGGAGAGTGTTGCTTTGGAAGCAGGGCTGGGAATAGTAGTAGTAGCAGCAGCAGCCGCAGTAGCAGCAGCAGTAGTAGTATATATAACCTGCCCATCTGGCTAGGTTTCCCAATGCCCTCACTGTAGACAGCTTAAAAACATGGGGGAAAACATCAAGCATAGAAAACCTCCTGATACAGGGCTACCTTCTGATGTCTCCTAAAAGTTGTGTAATTCTTTATGTCCTTGACGTTGGGCGCTACTGCCAAGACGGTCATCTGCCTGGTTCCCTCTAACTTTGGTTCTCTGTGTGTATTCTCCCACCACCAGAGGCTGGGTCCATCTCTGCTTCACAGATGATCTTGCAGTGCAAACTTGGGCAGGGGTGGGACACCCCATTTTGCAGCTGGCATGCCTGGATCAGTCCCTCCCCCCACTCTACTAATCCCCAGAATGAAGGGGTGGGGGGAGCCCTTCCCTGCTCTTCTGATCTCCAAGGCCTGCTGTGGGTTGTGTGATGCCCCAAACCATTATCCCACAGGACCCATGGATCCCCACTCTGGGGGAACAGAGGAGAGAGACTGAACAGGCCACCCGCCTCTTCTAAAATGCCTCACCAGAGCAAAGCACCTGCTCTTCCTGAGACTGGAGTGAGTGATGGGGGGAAGAGGGAGGAAATGTGCAGAGACCCCCTCCAAATCCAGTGTGCATGACGGCATGTCTTCTGCCAGGGGGAGCAACCCGCAGGGAAGGGGTGTGTTTCAGGACATGCAAAGTCAGCGTGCAACCCAGTCATGAGTTGGCTGTGTTGCCTGGATCATGCCTTAACCTCCTCAAGGAAGGATTCATTCTTTTCTGTCATCTTGATCTGGTGTTTTCCCTCCTCTCCCTGTCTTGCCCTTATTTTTGTGCCTCATTAAAATAAACTAATGCGAGTTGAAGTTCTCCAGCTGTTTCTCCCTCCCCCCCTTGCAAGAGTCTCCAGAAGGTAAATGACACCACCGAGTGGGGTTTGGGAGAGGCGTCCTTCTTGGCGCCAAGCCTTGAAGAAGAACATCCCAGAGGCCAACAGACAAGGCCTAGTCTGCTGTGCAATCTGATATCTTCCAGCTGCCGAGATCAATTTGGATCTGCTGGTGGCCCAGTGGAAGACAAGTGGGATCCTTTTTGCAGATCATCTTTCCCCAGAGGACATCCTGCTGGCGTGAGGCACTTGGGGCTCGTCCACACTTGGCTCCCCCACTTCTCCCCTCTTTACAGCTGAATCGGAGCAAACAGCAGTCAGGTTCTCCACACGTTGCCCTTTGTTGCCATTCAGCAGGGAAGGTGTTTTGCCAGGGGAACCGGAGGGACAAACAAACAACTGCTGTGGCCTTTGCCTCCTGGGCGGGGGGCAAGCGGCAGCGTGGAGAGGATGCGCAGCCACAACGGCTGTGTCCTACCCTGTGGCCCTATAAGAACTTCACGTTCTTTTGGCCCACCTTGTTCAGCCTCCAGTTCTCTCCCTGGCTGGCCAGGTGCCCCCAGATAGAAGCCGGATAGCAGGATCCGAGCTCAGGAGCGAGGGGCTATGTGAATAGACCAGGAGATTATGGGAGACCTAGTCAGCGGAACAGGAGCACAGAACCCTCTCCTCTCCCTGGGCTAGTAGCCATTGATATTCAGAAGCTTTGCCACCTCCAACTGGCTATTAGCCATTGATAGTCTCCTCCAGGATTCATAGAACTCTTGTATTTTAACATCTCCCATCTCCTCTGTCATAGAATCATAGAAATGGAGAGTTGGAAGGGACCTCAGGGCAGTGGTGTACTAAGGCCAGGTGGCACTCGGTGCAATTAATTAATTTATTTTTTGTCAACCCCCCCCATTGAAATTATTAAAAGAAGTAAAAATAAGATACAGTTGCAAGCCTGTGTTTCTGTTTTATTATTTACTTAACATTTTGAGCGTAAGCACTGAAAACCTTTCCCCCCTAACTTTGTTCTCTGCAAATTTTGAAATCAAAGCATCAAAACCAATTCCTTTCACTTTCGTCTGAAAGAAAACCCCCTCCCCCTTCCTTAGCCATGTCTCCACTGTTGCAGCATCAAGTCAAGCTGCGTTTTGTTGCGTTTGTTGACTGAACAAAAAAGTTTCAATACGTATTATGTTGACTTGTTGAGGTTAATCAGTTGTCAGGAGAAGTTATTAAACTCATTTTAAATAATATTTTTTTCTCAAAATGTCATGTGGCCAAATTTATTTTATTTTAAACACACATATTTTTGCCTTTTGTCACCCAGGGAAGCCCACACCCCACTTCCTATGCCACTGAAGAGAGTATGACTTCGTTACCTAAAAAGGTCGTTTTTCTAGGTGCTATTGGAAGAAACTGATTTTCTGGATCCATTTCAATCGGGGTTCAGGGCCGGTTTTGGCACAGAAACTATTTTGGTCACTCTGTATGATGACCTCTGTCAAGAGACATGGGAAACATGTCTGGTGGGGGGGGGTGAGGCAACCTGAAACAGATTGACTTACGTAAAATTAGTTTTTCAGCTAGTTCATTGCTCCCCCCCCCATTCTCTACAAAAACTCATCAGAATAAATCCAATTTGGCTTTATTTATAACAGCTGTTGTCTCTGTCTTTAGTTCTGTCTTCATGCGGACAATTCCATAAGCAGGGAATCCAGTAGTGCATTGGCAGCCCTGAATCCCTGACCATACGCAAATAAGCCTTTTCCAACTTAACACGGGTAAAGCTCTAATGCACAGTTACTAATGGGTGGAATTCCATTAGCATATAGGGACTCCTAAATAAATATGGGAAGGGACGCGGGTGGCGCTGTGGTCTAAACCACAGAGCCTAGGACTTGCCGATCAGAAGGTTGGCGGTCCAAATCCCTGCCACGGGGTGAGCTCCCATTGCTCAGTCCCTGCTCCTGCCCACCTAGCAGTTTGAAAGCACGTCAAAGTGCAAGTAGATAAATAGGTACCGCTCTGGTGGGAAGGTAAACGGCGTTTCCGTGCACTGCTCTGGTTTTGCCAGAAGTGGTTTAGTCATGCTGGCCACATGACCCGGAAAAACTGTCTGCGAACAAATGTTGGCTCCCTTAGCCAGTAAAGCAAGATGAGCGCCACAACCCGAGTCGTCTGCGACTGGACTGAACTGTCAGGGGTCCTTTACCTTTTAAATAAATATGAATAGTTCCAGGCTGCACAGAAACCGGTATTTGGTGCCTCTTATAAGGTGATAGGCCCTTCATGGATCACTGCCTTGCCGTGGCGAAGGGGCTTGAATAACTCAGAGAAGTTATGAGCTATGCCGTGCAGGGCCACCCAAGATGGGCAGGTCATAGCTAAATGTGATCCATCTGGAGAAGGAACTAGCAATCCAGTATTTTGCCAAGAAAACTCCATGGACATAAAAAAGGAGAAGCTTTGAGAAGAAAGCGAGAGTTTCCAAGGCATGTTCTGGTTCATGGGGTCACGGAGAGTCAAACACGACTAAGACGACTAAACAACAACATAAGGTGATAGATAGCATGTATGCAGCAGGCTTGCTATGTGCTTTGTGGAGTATATTTTGGGGCGTTGGTGCTGGCGCAGAGGAAATTTCCTCAACTACAACCTAAAATGTCTTACCACATATTGTCTGCCTCTTGGGTACTGTCGCCGGAACCCCCCCCCCCCCATCTCACTGACACGTGTTACACAAGCACCACACTCACACATGCACACATCTCCCTCTTCCTGACCCTGGAGATGTCCCTTTAGAGGGCCATCCCTTAAAGCCTTCCGTAAATAAGGAAGCGCTAGCTTGACAGCTTCCCGCTATAGCGCTCCGCATAGCCCTATTTTTATTATGAGTAGACCGGCCGACCGAATTCTGCTGTCAATCGGCGCCCGCCTCAGTCAATCAGTATTACCGAACAGCGCCCCTTGCGGCGGCCACGCAGGTACTGCAGGCTACTGCTGCTCTCTTCCCTTACCTTTGACAGCTCTCAATACAAAGTTTCCGAGTTCAATTGACCGTGACTGATCTAATCAAAATGTAGCAAGCCACTTCCTGAAGGCGAAAGTGCTTTGAACTTCAAAGACAATATTCTTTATAAATTCACTAAAAATCAGCCGTACTTCGGATTTTCACCGGACCACTTTTATTCTGCTGGATATTACAAAGACTATCAAAGGGGGGTGGTCTGATATCAAGCAGCCATAATCCCTTGACCGAGCAGTCACGTACTCTGTGTTCCTCCCTAGTAGACGTGACCACCTTGATAGCCATCGGTGATGGGCTCAGACAGAAGGCTATCAAGGACACAATGAACTGCATATCTTGGTGTATTCCGCGCAGACACACACAAAAGACTGTGATCGGACTCTCCTCAGGGGGCAGGAAACTTCGCCCTCTTCCTTTGATTCTGTATATGACTCATGCGGGGAGGGGGAAGGGGGCTCCGGCCAGGTGTCAGGACACTCGGGTTACCTGTGCAGCCCCTCCCCGACTCCTCCTATTTTTAATATAATCGTGATGTAAATATGATGTAATTCTGAGGGTGTAGCTTAGGGGATTAGCAACTAATAAAAGTTAGGGTCTCCCTTTGTTCGGGGCTTCCATTTTGCTTCACCTTGTGGGCGGTGGGAGTCCTGTCGCGACAGTCTTTCCTAAATAAAGACCGGGCCTACTGGCTGCTGTTTTGCTCTGAATTGCTCTGGCTGGTGTCTTTGTTTCGTCCAAGGGAGCCCTCGGACCTTTCCGTTAACAGTACAAAACAAGGTGGCAGCCCTAATACCTAGACTGGCCCTTTGCAGGATCCCATTCTATGGCTTTCCAACGAAGCTGCGCTGAAGAACATTAATGGGCGAGAGAGACTGTGGTTTTTAAAATTGTTTTTATTAAATTATTGGGTGCATCCAAGTCACGGAATCCTTCAAACAAGTCAGTCGTATTCAGAGTGAGACCGCACTGCTCTAGGCATTATGGGGTTGGCGGGGGGGGGGCAGAGAAAATGGGAAGAGAGAGGAAAGGAAAAGGGGGGATTTCTCAACATTTCATTCATTTACGTATATAGTTGCGCACCTGATCCGTCAGGGGCACAGTTACCCCATTCAGGATCAGGGAGTCCTCCACACCTGCCCGCCCCCTGTCCCCCCAAAACAGTACTTCTGTCTTGTCAGGATTCAACCTCAATCCATTAGCCACCATCCATTCTCCAAACGCCTCCATTGTGGTGGTTCCCTCATTGCGGATAAGTGAGGTTCATAGACTACCTGCAATGCAGGATTTTTTTTGACAAGGTGGGGCTGGAACCCACAAGCCTGAGAGTCTCATGCTCTGCCAACTGAGCTATCCCAGGACTCAAACCAAATTCAGCTGGTAGGATTGCAAATGAAGAATGGGGAGAATAATAATAATAATTCCACAGCCACTTTGGGCGGCTTCCAGCAAAATATAAAAACATAATAAGACATCAAACATTAAAAACTTCCTGATCCTGCTTCTTTGAGAGAAGCTGACAAATTTAGGATAGATTCTCTATCAACTCAATGATAGGGAACCAGGCAGAGGGCCTTCTCGGTAGTGGCGCCCGCCCTGTGGAACGCCCTCCCAGCAGATGTCAAGGAAATAAACATCTATCTAACTTTTATGACATCTGAAGGCAGCCCAGTATGGAGAAGCTTTTAATGTTTGATGTTTCGTTGGTTTTTTAAAAAGACTCTGTTAGGAGCTGCCCAAATGGCTGGGGAAACCCAGCCAGATGGGCGGGGTATAAATGTTGCTGTTACGCTCAATGGAATAGCACAATGATTGCAAACCCAAAACCCACTTATTTATTTATGGCAATTTAACCTGCATAGCTCCTTTTTTCTGTGTGTTTCATGGTTCTTCTTTATGATACGATACGATATCTTTATTGTCATTGTCCCATGCAGAACAATGAAATTGAAAAACTACAT